GTTTAGAACCCCGTAATTACGTTCCCGCATTCGACGTTGAATACAATTCAGTTGTTAAATCTTGAAATTTATTTTTGCAACACGTAACAAGACTGTGTCCTAATTCAGCCGTCATCGTCAGTCGAGGCTCGCACGACACGGCGGACGTTTAAGAGGCCGATGTTGGCGATTGTGCAATTCGTTCCTCTGAAAACTTATTTGCGGCACGTAACACAGAAATTGTACGTAACGTTAAAGATCGTTGCGTCCGCGCTCGCGTTTAGCGAGTTCGTTTCTCCGAGTTTTGCGATTTATTTGCAGCACGCAACGCATAAAAATTATACGCGTTGCCGCCTCATGGCCGAGCACTCGTGTGCCGGCCACGTTCGGAAACCCATATTCGTCCTCTACTTTCAGGCCTTAAATATATTCAGATACATTGATTCCGATACTCGAGACACGCTCCTATTATTATTACATAAGTAATACTTTCTGCCCTGAAAACCAATCCAATTCTTTATTTTTTTTTCTCATTTCCTTAATGTACGTCTGTTTGATTTTAAATGCCGCGACATGCGACAATAACTATACCACGTTCGTACGAGGCACCCGTGGTTCGGAACATGGACATGACTGCGAAAGGTACTTCAACGCTCCAATGATCATTCGCGGGAGTGAAGGAAAATATTGGGAACCGGGACAACACATCGAGACAAGAATCCCACCCGGACCGAAGCAAAACGGAAAGAGGCCGTGTGGAAGAGAGCAGCGTGATCGTCGGCGAATCGATCGGTAGGACACGGCCAGGGACGACGTTAGGTAGAAACGGTCCGATTGTGTACTCACATGTCGATGAGAGCCGTTCCGGGCGCAGCTTCCGGGGAGGCTCCGCTCCGGTGGCGGGTCGGCAGCGGCGGCGTGAGGCGCCGATGACAAGGGACGTCGTCGTCGCCGTCTCGGCCACATGCACGACGCACCGCGCGCGCGTACACTCGTGGAGCGTGTCCGCGGAGACTGACTCACGAAGGCGTACTGCGTGGAGTTCACGCGCGCGAGTTCGCGCGTTCCGCTCGGCCGTCACTCGCGTCACGCGGCACGCGAGCCACAGCCGCGCGCGTGCGAGTCCCTCGAAGCCCGCCCGCGAAACGCGAACCCACCCTCCGACAACTGGCGGCTCTCTCTCCCTCTGGGCGCGCGCGCGCAAGGTGGGGAACCGATGCTCCCGTGAGTTCCTCCCCGTCGACCGAGCGCCACGTTTGGCGAAGATAGCTGGACACAACGTGTCCCCGGCGAGGCCAGCACCGAGGCCAGCGCTCCGCAAACGTTGCGCGCGAGAGTCGCCTCTCTCAAGAGTTTAGGTGGTTCAGGGGTTGCAGTTACGCGGAATCAAGTGGGGAAGGTGTTCTCGAGGGTGCTAACAGCGCTAACTGATCAAATTTAGCAGCGCTATAACTACGGAATACGATGCCTCTTAATTTATCAAGGGTCTCTCGTTTACCGTCTGATAGATTAACCTGTTCAAGAGAAGAAAACAGACGTTCCGCAGATAAAAAGAGCGAAAGAGGCAATGACTGGAATTTTTCTCTATAAACGGAGATTGACTGAGTCGAGATATTAATGATATTGGAAATATAAGCTCCTCGAACATGTCGTTTTAATGTATTTTTGTCGCCGCATTTGTTAATCAGTATTAATATTAGCGGCATCTGTTCCTGCATTACGCAGCAGTTTACTTTGTTAATTTGTTCCAAAGTAATTAAAAGTCAAATAAATTGAAAATAAAAGTATCCCCCAAACACCTATTACCATATTTTTTTTATATTTCTTCCCTACTTTTATTAACGGTGACTTTTATAAATAATAAACGTTATTACTATCGAATTTTTTTTGCATTATTTATCATTTCTTTACGTTACACTGTAATCATTCTTTTAATTAAAAAATCTAATAATTTTCTTAAAGAAACATGTATAAAAAATCAATTCTATCCCACTTTATCAAACATGGCACAAATCGTGCTGCTATCTTTTAAATTTAAAGAACTTCCATTTTTTCTTAAACGTTTATAAAACGATCAATCGCCAAAATGTGTGATATGGTTGAATATGCCGTGTAAAAAAAATGTACACAGAAAAAATGTGTCATGCTCTTATTTTAATAAAAATATTGGTTTTATTCAATACTGTTATTAAATGAACAAATTATTTTCAAATGGACTAATATACTGTTGATACAATATCTTCTTTTTCTTGTACGTAAGTATTCACAATGATACTAAGTTCGGATCTATGAGTTCCCTAATTATAAGCCCAAATGAGAGTAATATTTTGCTGTAATAATTTCTTTACTTAAAAAAATACAAACAAGGTCGATTTCGCGGAAACGATGGGTTTAGATCTCCATGCTGCCATCTATATAGGAACCCTGTGTCGCGTCGTGAAATGAAGTCGATATTTTACCGCCATCAGATTAAATAAACTCTTAATAAATTCGAAATTGAAAAAAACATTGCTGAGATATTTTAACTTCTAATAAATTCTATATATTATCTTAAGCCCGTATTAGACTAAGGATTGGAATTGAGATTGAATTGAAATTTGACCAATCAGAACAAAATTAATTAAACTTGAGATTACTTTTTTCTATTCTGATTGATTGAATTTCAATCCAATCTCAATCCCAATCCGTAATTTGATACGGGCTTTACTCTTTCGCAGATAATCACGATTATTGAAATTTAATTGTTAACAGCCGCCTTAGGCACAATCATGGTCACAATAATTCATCTTCGCGGCTATTTTCAATTGTTTTTGTACATCTTTATAAATCAAATTGTAAAAGGTTGTTACTTTAAAACCAAGAACTTCCAAGGTATGAGTTAAATCTTTGCAATCAATATTTGTACCGGTGCGAGGTGGAAGCTGAGTGTGTGCAGCGAATAATTCGTGATTAAAAATTATGGCTACACCACGTTTTGTATGATTAATTCATATTATAATATACGTCATGACTCTGAGTAGGCGCTAATGGTGCTACACTGTGAGAATAAACTATGTTGCTCCTAAGGCGGAGTGCAATACATTTTATAATTATATTATAAACTATTATAAATATTATAAATGCGATAGCGAAAACCCCTATTAACAAAGTGATATTAGTGTTGCGTTCTTCACCACTTTGTGTTTGTGTATTTATTTACGTTTTTATATTTTTGTCCATTCATTAAATAATATTAAAAATAGTAGTGTACGTGTTTTATTATTTCAAAAGTGCTGCAATTTAATTATTTAATGAAAAATTCTGAAAAAAATATATAAAAAAATATATAAATAAATAAAACTTCTCAGATACTTTCAGAAATAATTGGATGGAGATTTTCAGAATATTTCAGTATCTGTATATATAAATTTTTGATAAATATTGCAGATATTTATTCAGAATTCTACAAAAACATATTGCAAAGAATATTTTATTCTAATTTTGTCTGACTTTTTCTGAAAAACGTTCGTATTCGTATAAAAAATCAAAAAAATTCTAAGCATTCTGAGATTTTTATAGAAATTCTGATTAATAATATGAAAAATTCTGAAATATTTATCCACCAGGGTCGACATCATATTCATTTGCTAAAACTCGTTTATTTCACGCGATAAAAGCACTTTTTTTTTTTTTTTTTTTCACGGGAGGAGGTGAAAATGCCTAATGCTTGCAGCCTTCTCTAAGGTGTTGTTTGGGAAGGACTTATGCAAGCCGCATACCCCGGGGGCCGGCTACCCGAGGTTATGTGGGGCTCGCACCCACTAAAAACACCCCCTTAGTTCCCTCCCTAGGCCTAAACAGAAGGGTTAGCGCGGGGGTGGAGAATTACTCGGGATTAAAACTCCCGGCTCTCGCGCCCGCGTTCGCAGTCGAGTAGTATTAGTATTACGGTCGTCACTTAAGTGGTGAAAGTGATATAGATATAATTGGACAAATATGTTACGAGGTATTTTCCATAAAATCGTTCTGTTGATATCGCAAATACGATGTCCTAGAGAAATACCTAAATTTCGAAAGAAGAGGTAGGAACCGCAAAATAACACTACCTCAACCCACTCCCGAAAACGACCCCTGCATCGACGTCTATCCACCTAAGACAAAAACACCTATATGCTTTCCCGTGCCCCGCCGCCTACCCTGCAACGTGACGATGACCAACCTCGTTGTGTTCGGGCGTTCAGGCATAATCCCACGGATGGTAGCTTCGCACCACCGGCCGCTTGACCGAGTGTGTGAACCAACTTTGAAAGAACATTTTTCGAAGAAAGCTTGGAATGATTTAGCTGCCAGTGCTCTCATTTCTATTCTCTTACTCCCACGTCTTTGCCAACCGAAGGTTCGCAGCAGTCGGAAGAAATAAAAAGAGAATTAATATCCGAATTAAAAATAATACCCGAATTAAAAGTAATACCCGAGTTGAAAAAATTGATCGAGTTTAGTAATTTTTCAGCTGTTCAACAGACGTCGAGCAGGCGAAATCAAACAAATATTATAATTAAAGATTTTCAAAATCATCAAAAAAACGACGAAAACACGAT